AGGATCTGAAGATGATGATGAGGATGATGATATTGATGCTGATGATGTCCAACCGAGAGAACGTGCTGCAGGAAGACGCACAGCAGGTAGGTTGTGTTGATATCTGTCCCATTGCTTATGTTGGGATATTTAAGCCATTAATCCTGGGAGTACATTGTTCACTCTTGGGGTGATTTATTAACCTGTTGATGCAAGAAGGGTGTGTACGTCTTTGCCCAGTTCACAAATTTTAGGCTATTAATTTTGTTTTTTATACACCACAGAGTCAGTAACTAGGTTTAACTGATCTTTTCTGTTTGCCCTAGTGCTTGGTGTTTGGGGAGATCCCCCCCTGGTTATTGGTATTGATAATGTCAGTAACATTCAAGAACCATAATGTCAGTAATAATATATTAGAAAAAGAAAAACCTTTTGCAGTAAAGTTCAAGTAGGCCTACTAATAAACTCTATGGTGACTAAGCACTTGTGGAGATATTTATTTACAAAACTACTAGGCATGTATCGAGCAGCAATGGGTTAATTTTGTTTACTCATATATGGCTCCAGAGATGCTTTGTCCCTAATTACTAGGCTGACCTGACCTCACCTATTTATATCATACCTTGGATTTTTGTAAAGAAATTTGTATTTATATTACTGTTATTATTTGTTGATCATGAAAATATTAGTAGTGATAATGGGGATGATGATAATGATAATGATTAACAATGATAATTATGATGATGATAGCAACAGTAATAACAGTATTTTTTTCACTGAAAATTCAAGGAAGAGGGTAAACAGGTGAGATCAAGTAGGCCTAGTAAATGACTCCATAATGGCTAATTGTTTTGTAAACAAAATTAATCCATTGACCCCTGGTACATGTACATCTGCCTTGTTGATTTGTTTACACTCATGCTCAGCCACCAATAGGTCTAGTAGTAGGCTACATGACCTCACCTGATTTTTTTCTAATGCTGTTAGTCGTGATATTTTTGTTGCTGTTTTTATTACTGTAAGGATTGTTGACATTATTATTATAATGTTATTAGGAGTACTTTTAGCAATAAAAAGAAAAAAAAATGTAAATCAAGGAAAAGGATATGACTCTGGTAACTGCTCTTGTGCATAAATAATATCAATAAACTGAAATCACAGTGGGCATGGCATATTTATCCTGCCATCCATCATCTGAGGGTTGATGAAATAAATCTACATTGGGATGAAATGCATCTCAATATTGTTAGCAGTTGAAAGTCCTAATTTTTGCACTATATGGTGGGTAATTTTTGGCTTCTTAGTCTGTCTGATTAAAATATTTATATACTCTTCCAGCGGCCAAAATCAAGTTCCAGTTCAGTGAAGATGAGGATAGTGACAGTGATGGATCTCTTCATGACAATGCTGGTGTGGAAGAGGCAGACTCAGCACCTCAACAGGTGTCCATTTTGGATGAGTCTGTTGCGTGAGTGTCCCCCTTTTTTTGTTTGTTTATTTATTTTCAGATATAACTAGATATAATTAATTTACAGAATATACAGTAAGTCCCCAACTTAACCCCTTGCCGCCGGGTGACGGCGATACGCGTGTAAACAAATCGCTCGAAAGGTGGCGTGCGGCCAAACCAGCCGGCGGCGCGCCAAAGCGCGGCGAGCCAGTGATTCGGGCTGACGCCCCGTACTCCGGCGCTCAAAGTCGGCGCGCCGCCTTTGTTTGCCAGAGCGTAGAGTTTTATTTTCCTTTTGTACACCCGGCGTCATTGGGTTAAGAACATAATGGGGACCGAGAGGCTGTTTGTAAGTTGATTTGTTTGTATGTCGAAAGTCGGGTCTCCATTACCTTTTTTCCCATTGTTTTAAAGTTTTGTTTACATTAAGAATACCTGTAAATAAATCCCAGTAAGTATGACATACCTTATACAGTACCAGACTCTTGAACTATATTCGTGCCCGGGAAATTTGAAGTTTGCTAGCATCTTTCAAACAATTTTTTGGACTTTAGTACTTAAAAAATTTCTTTTTGTATGTATGGAATGTTCATAAGTAGAATGTTCTTAAGTAGGGGACTATCTGTATAGGAGAAACTATTCAAAAATTATAATTTTTTTTTATTAGATTTTATTTAGTCCCCTCCCTAAAGTTCATTATCTTAATATGATATAAAAAACAAAACAAAACCAAAAATATTGTATTTTGAAGGTTTGATTATTAACAATATATATATTTTTTTTATATTTTCCAGGAAAGTAGAACCAAAAGATGAGGTCGTTATAAGTGATACAGATTCAGAATTTGATGTAAAACCCAAGAAAACCACTGTTGTACCTGTAGCGCAAGGTAAGAGTAACTGACTGTTGTAATATATCAGTGAAAAAGGTGATCCTGTTAAAGCATTTCAAGATTGGTTATATTATCCTTTTTTTCATAGTGTAATCAAGTAAAATCTCATATTAATAGTGTTAACATGATTTTTTAAAAATTGATTAATTAATTTTTTTATTGAGAATGTTCACTTTGCTTCTGGAATAAGAAGGATGTTGTCCATTATCTTTTATACATTTATACATTCCTTTTTTCTATGGCTATAACAAAATTTATTCATGGAATTTCACAAATGGCAGTGCTATAAAAGGTGAATCTCTGATGTTACAGACAAACCCACAGCATCAGATCTGTTTGACTCAATGATGGGATCCTCAAGCCCACCCAAATATGAACCTGAACCTGCCGGTAAGTATAATACAAGTTTGAGTTGCTTTGTTTTATGGAGACTAAGGATAGATTTTTCCTTACTCTTAGAAATCATAGAATAGAATGTGAAATGAAGTAATATCAACATTACTCCATCTCATATTCTAAGATAGGTTAAAGGTTGAAGGTTGTGTGACAGTTATACCCTCTTTTCCTTAGTAGTCAAAAAAGCTCCCGCCAAGAAGCGCACCAAGGATGACAGCAGTAGTGAGGAAGACAGTGTGCCACAGCCCAAGAAAAAGCCAGGACCTAAGAAGAAGGCTACCGTGGTCCCAGATGACATGTCCGACGATGACCACAAGCCCAAGAAGAAAGGCCGTCCCAAGAAGAAGGCTTCCCCTGACAATGACATGTCCGACGATGAGCCCAAGCCCAAGAAGAAGCCAGGCCCAAAGAAGACTGCTGCAGCAAAGAAGAAGAATGACTCTGATTCAGATGACATGTTTGATGACATAGCCCCTAAGGTGAGGAGATTTCTAGTACTTTGAATTATATCCTAATAAAGGCTCAGTAAATGAAATAAAAGAGAAAGAAAGGTAATAAAGAAATTAGTTGTTGTTTTTGTTTATTTATTTTAAATTTTATCATTTTCAGGGTAAAGCAGCTTTGAACGTGTCTGACGACTTCAATATTTCTGAGGTTGCTCCAAGGGAGCGGTCTGGGCGACAAAAGAAAGTAATCACCTATGCCCTAAGTGATGATGATGATGACTCTGATTATTAGACTCTGTGGGCATAAGATGTCTGAACAAGTACCTTGAAAGAGAAGAGGAGAGACCTGAGGCAAACATTAGATGCTAAGTAGAAATGCTCTTTCTTTGATAATGAAATTGCTCCTGTATTTTAAGGAGCTGGTCATTGCTGTATTATAAGTATTCTAGAGCATTGTCAACTTATTTTATTTACATTTTTTTAATATTTTATTTTATCTTTTCATTTGTACGAATTTGTAACAAAAATAGCTATAATATTAGTATGAAAGGACAATTTTTAAGCTGTTGGGACCCTTTGTATTAGGCTTATTCAAAGTACTGTGTAACAATTTAAATCTTTTTAATGATAGACTTTCAAGTACAAAGGGATTATGAAAAGTCTGCTGATACAGTTGCTTTTATTTGATGCTGTATTTTTTTAATGTCTCATCAATGGTATATATTTACAAAAATACTTATAATAGCTGCAATAAAAATACTTATGTATTTTTCAATAAATTCTTTTAGGAGAAATTTTTGTAAAAGATAATAAAGAGACTTACCATGTGCTGTAGATATATTCCAGGAAAACTTTTTTTTAAGGTGTAATGAGATAGTAATGAACTGTGACATTTTGTGGAGCAACAGAGGAGCAGGTATTTTAGTCTAAGTCTAGCACAAACTTTGGGAAATCTTCAGGCTCTTTTGTTGTCTTTTTTCAATTATTTCAATGTGAATTAAAAAAAAAATAAAAAAAAAGGGAAAAAAATGCTAGCTGATTGTACCAATATATATTTTGGTAAAATCCAGTAAAGTAAAGAAATTGTTTTATTTTTTTTTAGGTTTCAGCGCTATTTATTTTCCTTCACCTTTCTGTCGGGACTCAAAGTCCCTTGTCTACTATCAGTTTTTGAAAATAAAGTAGATAGACTGGATATTGTTTCTTGTTTACCTTCCTATTTTTTAAGGATAACAATCCATTGAACTTGAAATGATGGAAGAAAAAAATGTAAGGTTTTATGCATTATCCTTTTCATGAAACCATTCATTAGATATATGAAACTGAAATTGATGAAAGTTATTACTGATCCAAAATGTGTGAATTACTGGTTTCCAAGTCTTTGCAAATTCTGTAATCAGTGGCATCTGATGAAGACCATTGTAATGCCTCAGTTGATAAGCCTGTTCTTTGCAACCACCATATTGATATAAAGCAAGGATACACCTTTTGCACTCCAGGTAATAGTAACCTTTGTTGCTATTTTTCACTTTATTATTTTCTTTTATTCATTTTATATTTAAATTGTTTATTAGAAGGAAACCAGTTATATTTGAGAATCTGCAAATAAAATTGATTGACCACAGACAGTACTTTAATCCTATGGGATTAGTAAAAGTAAAAATGTAAATAATGATAATGCTGCTGGTTATCCACTAAGGCCAGCTGTCATTTGCTTCATATGACAAGCCTCTGCTTTAAAGAATGGATAATATTTTGTGTTAAATAGGTACTTAAGAATCCTGATTTAGCAACATTAACCACAAGTTTAGAAGGAATGCAAAAAGTAATGTGTCTAATACATTCTGTGGTAATCCTGATCGCAGAAGTTATATTTTCTCTTTACCCTGTGCTTGAACCTCCCCAATCCCATGCCTGTTGTCATTGTTGGAGGGGCTTAGGAGAGACTGAGATCTAATGCCAGGGATCACCCCTGCCTTGGGTCATAGCCTTTGACTCAACTAATTTTGCATGATCTTCTCTTCTTCCTCTTTCCTTTTCTGTCTCCTCTCCAACCCCTTCTACTATTCATTTACCGAGGTGTGCAAATTGTTTAGAAAGGATTAAAGGCTGACTTTGTGCCAGTCATGAATGGCCTAGGGAAGCCATGGGCACAGTATTCCTGTTTAGTTGTCTAGCCCTTACCCCTCAAGGGGATCTGAGGGGTGGACCATTCCCCTCCCAATATACTTCAGGCTTACCATGGCCAGTAATGAAGATTTTGCAGTAATGAAGATTTTTAGGGGCAATGGGGCTATGTGAACTATATTCGTACCCGGGAAATTTGAAGTTTGCTAGCATCTTTCAAACAATTTTTTGGACTTGAGTATTTTTTTTTAAAGTTTGTATGTACAGAATGTGTGTAAGTAGAATGTTCTTAAGTAGGGGACTATCTGTATTACTTTTGAGTATAATGTTGAATTTTCCCCATACCATAGTCTGAAATAATCCGAGGTTGTGTAAAGCATCTAGTAGATCTACACTCTGACGTTATGATAATAGGTACAAGTAAAACCAAAGTTATTAGTTGGATCAGCAACTTTCATTTGAGTCGGTGTGACCCACAGTGCGTCCATTCATTAGGGTTTAAGCTAGAATCTTAATTCATCTATTAATCACGCCCTTCTTACCCTCTAGCAGTCGACTGCATGTTCTGGGTAAATCGCAAGCGATTGTGATTCGGGATAGTTAAATACCCATAGGAATGTCACGAGCGCTGGTCACAGATACGCAGAGGAGAGCGGTTATTTATAGATTATCCCGGCTTGTTCAGTTAAATTCATTTCATAAGTCATTTTGGGTACAGGGATCCCCCGTCTAGAAGTTGTATGCAATCTGACATGTATAGCTGGACAATGGCTACCTCGGCATTTCAGATTTTTGTAGGGACTCCGAAATGTATATTTAACAGAATCATGGATTGTGTAGTATATTTCTGACCCTGGAAGATTTGTTTGCAAGAAAGCTAGCAAATATTTTGTCCTCATTCATTAGTGCGTACATTTCATTAAATATCTCATTAAATGTCGCATATCATGTTGAATTCACTTGGTAATTGACAATTTTGTATTAATAGCATTGCTAGTACAGAAAGTCCCCAACTTACGAACGTAATGGGGACTGAGAGGCTGTTTGTAACTCCATTTGTTTGTATATCCAAAGTTGGGTCTCCATTGCCTTTTTTCCCATTGTTTTAAAGTTTTGTTTACATTAAGAATACCTGTACATAAACCCCAGTAAGTATTTTTGATGGATTGATGCACAGGTAAAGCAAATTATGGCACAAAAATTGGTGGTACACGAGGACACAGTGAACAGATGCTTTCGTGTTTATGGTGGGAGGGCAGGTGACTGAGGCAAGTGATGCGCACAGCTGAATGAGCGCGGCAGACTCATGAACTATATTTGCGCCTGGGAAATTTGAAGTTTGCTAGCATCTCTCAAACAATTTTTTGGACTTCTGTATTTTAAAAAATTTGTTTGTATGTATGGAATGTTCGTAAGTAGGGGACTTACTGAATTGTAAAACAAACATTAATCTTTGTATTTGTGATATATTTTCTGTGTGATCTTACTCTCACTTTCATTCTCATTCATGTTCACTGTCGCTCACACACATACACACTCACCCACGCAGAAAAAGGACACTGAAACCATTGATAGGATTTGTTGCAGTCGTAGTTGTAGGCGTAAAGATCTGTGATGTATTTCTTTTGCTCCCGATTTTGCCAGTCCTGATGAGTGACTGGCACATGATGACATACATTTCTTCTCAATGTAACGGCAACTGGTTCAAGTAAGTCACCATGCCCAGGTCATCCACCAGTCTCTGGCCCCCCAAGGCCGGCTGGCCGGACACGTGACACTGCGCTCAGTGCTAAAGACATCGTCTTGTGTGTTCCCTTTATTGTGTTGTACTCTTCCTTAATAAAGAGCCTGTCAAAAACTATGACTACCCCTTCTAGCCACTGTTTAGAGGGATATCTAGGCTGTTACACTGAGGCCCAATGTAGGGATCACCACTACCTTGGCCCTCAGCCCTCGCCTTATCTAATTTTGCAGGGTCTTTTCTTCTCCCTTTCCTTTTCCTTCTCTCCTTCAACCTCTTCTTCATTTTGTATATGCCACTAAAGACCTTAAATGTTGTGGCAGAAAAAAATCAATAATTATTAACCCAAATCTTCCGGGTCGACGATCCCGTGTGCTAGGTGCATTTCCGGGAGGCTACCGCTTAGGCCTAAACTCATATTCCGGGGACTTCCGGGGACAATGCTGCTTGTTTTTACTAAGATTGATGAAAACTGAATTATTTTTTTTCCATACTGTTCAAGTCAGGTATTATAAGGGAATACACAGCTTTTTTAGGGATCTCCTCAAGAACGAATCTCCGTCACCTCCGTAGCTGACTTCGTTTGTAAAGATAGCAAAAATGACTTAGTAACATTGTTCATGTATTTCTCTTACATGTCTTACATAATACTTTTTATTGATTATGGTTATATAACAATATAGAGCCTCATTAGCATGTATTCTCCAAAAATGAATAGAGATGTAAAACGTTATTGAAACGTGAGTAAGAAAGTCTGTAGATTCAATGCAAACAAATGTAAAATGCGAAAAAATAATTTTTGGTGTAGTTGAGATTGATTTGAGTCATCAGGTAAGTTTATATATCAACTCGTCACCACCCCCTTTTTAGCCGACCTCACTTGTATTATTTCCAGAACAAGGTGAGGGAGGAGGGGGGGAGCGGAAGGGGGGACGGGAGGATGGGGGAATGGGGGGAAGGGGAACTCAAGACCAATCACCATCAGTTTCGTGGGAATGGAAAGTTTCAAAAAATAATAAACCTAAAACTAAGGACTGAGTGAAAACTGAGACCGTCATGACGGATGACGGCCAGAAAATTGGCCAGTAAGGTGCCATCATCTCTTCATGCCACCTGGAAGATTTGGGTTAAAATGTACCAAGAGATGTGGAGTCTGTACAGTGAAAACTATTACCTTATTGATACACATAAATAATAAATATAGACCTTTGGAAAATGGCACAAAAACAGAAAATGCTACTGCAGATAAAGGAGAATAAGATTGCTAAGAGGAGGCAAGTGGTCTTGACACTGCATATGAGTGTTTATGTGGGCCTGGCCTACAAGCCACACACCTGGGAGAGTTGCCACTCAAGCCTAAGGATCTTGAGCCATGTTTGGGCAGCAAGGCACCCAGAACCACCTATCACTTCCTTCAATCTGTTCTTGCAAAGAAAAACTCAAGTTGATGAAAAGACACTGTATATTATCATCTTTTAATTTGTTCCATAACAGAAACAAGATTTTGATAAGTAGATTTCATGAAAGTAGAGTTTACAATGATTATAACACTTAAAGCTTTATAACTAATTCCTTAAAAAAATATGATCTTGAAATCCTCTTCATGACTTTAAAGATTCACAAAATTGTTTACTTGCTTCAAAAAAATAATACAACACAGCCTATGACATAAAAATACCCACAATACAAATTTACTTTTAAGGCAAAATAACATTTGTAAAACAGCGTATTTATTAAAATAAAACATTTTTGTATGATGAATCTCGTCACTGCCTTTCTTATGCATGAAGGCATACAAGTTGACTGACTTCATAGTTCATCAACTATTCCTCCATTAAAGCATAACTATCATAGATATTCAATATAGGTTGCAATAGTATTATCTTAAAGACTGCTTAATGTCAAATATTCTCAACACCAGAAACATGTAACCATAAAAATCATTCTATCTATCTTGTGAACACTACTGTGCAAATTTTGGTGGCAAAATTCCTATGCTAATAACATGATCTTAAACAAAATAATCTATATAAGTTATTAAAACATCCTTTAAACAATTCTTTTGATAGCAAAACTACAATTACCCTTATTAAAATTGGAAGGAGTGTGAGCAATTTTTTTTTTCATCTATTAGTTGTGCAGAACTATAACCTTAATATTATAAGACAAAGAACAATCTTGGTTGGAATACAGTGTTTGCATGCTTACCTTTATGAGACTTACTTAAATGCATATTAGAGGTACTGAGCTAATTCCATGCCATCAGTCCCAACACTATAATCTGATACATAATAGCTAATATATAGTTCAGTACTGCACTAACTTTAGTTACCAAATCTTTACTAATGCAAGAGGAAGTCTGAATATTAATCTTCTAATATGTTAAATGAGGAATTTCCAACATTTGCATTTTTTCCTAGTACTTGATGCCTTAACATTTTCAGGCAAATATGCAAAGTACACTATTAGTTGTGTCTACAGATAAAACCCCAAGTGCTAACTCATTCATAACATACTATTGCACCTATATTACTGTCAGAATAAAACTTTGATTAAAAACATGATGAATTTCAAATCTAAAAAACAAAAACAAAAACAAAATCTGCCTCTTGAACTTTTCAAACATTTCTTTTCAATTTGCTGAACTTTCTGAATTTTACATTATCATTCAAACTCCTACAAATAGCAATGTGATTAATGCAAATATGTATTAGGAAGTCCTGAGAGAAATTCCTAATATTCCACTGCTCATGGCAGTTCACATTACCTGCTCATAAACACAAAGTAGTGAGTTGTCAATAAATACATATATAAACCTAGATGACTAGATTGGACTGATATGCTACTGTCTGACAGGCTTAATTAATGTAAAAAATCACAATAAAGAAATCATTACATTAAAAAAATACTAGTGAACTAAAATTTCTATCTGTGATACAAGTATCCCTCGTCTTCTGTATTGCTGAAAAGAAAAATCAATTTACTCTTGCCTGGGTACTGGTAATGACATTTCATACTATTTATTAATATTAAACTATATTACTAAAAGGGAGTTATGTGTGTATTCTTCATTTTCAGCTGAACATTTTATGAACAATAACTGTACATATCTTGAGATCACAGAAAAGAAAAGCTGCAAACATGATGTCTTTCCTATTTCACTGCAAAGTAAGCTATCAATTCTTTATTTGTTAACTTTGAATTTTGAATTTCAGTAACTAATGCAGGATACCTGCATTCCTAGAAATAAAATGATATAAAATGTGCATGAAAGTACTAATAATAGGAAAATGAAATGGTGGCTAGGTAATGGAGAGCATAATAGGGCAGAGTGGAATAGAGATAAAATAATATTAGAATGAACAGAAAGTAGAGGAGACCAAACAAAAGAGGAAAAAAAGAGAAATGGGATGACATATGCAAAGTGCTTGAGATTACAACATATATATATAAAAAGTCTGAGAAAACCTTTTTTCCCAGACCAAATAAATCTGTTGTTAATATTCATTGGAGTGAATATTCACTGGAGTAAAATATTTTTCACAATTATTAATAATAAACAAATTTAGGAAAAACCTACATCTTAAAATACATTCTAAATATCAGGGAATATTGCATCGGATGCATAAAAGGTACTGTGTATGTTTATAAAGAACAGGTACAGAAATTGCCTAGTCATAAACATAAACTGAAAAATAATAACACGCTACAGGGGAAACAAATAACACATTTTTAAAAAGAAAGCTCTAAACAGATGTTTTGGATATAAATTTTGCATTTGCTTTCAGAGTGGGATAAATAAAATATAGTAAAACTGAATGAAGAGGCAGAAAAATTTTCAGCACACTGGGTGGCAACTACCATGATGACATGAATACACGTTAAATAATAACAAGCGAATCATGGACCTTAGATTATTCAAATATTTTGATTTAAAGGCATTGTTGCTCACTACCTGAATGTTCACAAGGTAATGTATGTAAAAAAAAGACACTGCATCAGGACTCTTTTCGCCACCATTAAAACCTTCCAACATTACATATAACAAATGTAAATGATAAATAACTTCTTCATTCACTTTACCTATACAACAATGCTTCAAACATCACAGATGAGTTCAATAAAGTGACTTTCCACATTAAAGAGGATATGTGACCTGATGTGAATTTGTCCCTTCTGTTGACCTTATCAACCACTGTTTTACTTGTTTTTCTCCTTTTTAAGAAATTGTCCCTTTGCTTTTATGGACGGTAAGCATTAAGTCTTGATAAAGTTTTAAAGATAAAATATATCCAATCCAATCTGCAGGTCTTTCACATACATCAAAAGTTTTATCACAAACCATACAGCACGATAACCTGTTCTAAATGTCTATGAACACATTTCATTTCACAAATTGTGCTAAAACAGGCACATCAACCCTCTTTCCAAATAAGACATGACTACTGTACATATGAAAAATATTTTTGAGTTCACCAAAGACAAGAAAACAAGTCACTCTAAGTAGGCTTATATATCACAATAGGAAGTGATGGCAAGATTCAATAACTATACAACAGTCTTTCATGAAAATATTACATATGAAAATATCAGCTGAGATTCAAAAAACAGATCTGTTGACCTTTCTTATTCTACCTTAACAATCACTGATTAAATGCACTCAAACATATTCTCATGACATCCTTGAAAGTTAAGGAGATTCTAATTTGGCACAGAGATATGTGACAATGAAATTTAAATTTATATTTTCCTACTTTTCCAGATCCATTAAAAAGAAAAATAATATAATATCTGTCTAAACTAGCTCCTGCATTTGCACCATAATGTATGCTTCTTAAAGCACCATGACTTTTTCAGTAATAAAGACATAACAAAATTATTATTATTGCACAACAATTTACTCTAACAAAAACAGATTGCATTTTTCATTGCTTGGAGGTAAACCTATCTCAGCCCCTTGACAGATTTACTGCCATGTTCTACACAAACACTATCCCTATTTTCTGTCTCAGGATGCTTCCTCACTGAACAGGACAGTTTTTCATAGAAGGCTGGTAGAGGAACCTCCTCCTGCGCCTCAGTGCCTCGAGATACACATCCCTGTTGAACATCCCAGCAGCCAATGGCACACTGAAAAATACCACCAGTGTAAGAATCAGCACATCAACAGAAGTAAGAACACAGTTCATATTGAATACTAATTCCTTCATAAAAATATGTAATACACAACTTCCAAGGTCTAACTGAGATATCAGGTAGCAAAATAGTAAATTTCTCTTCCTATGATTAAATGTTGTTGAATAATGTGAAATAAATGTTCTTAATTAAAATGAATAAAATAAAATACATGATAGACATACTCATCCTTTCCAGGTCTAATTTTGCATTCATACACCCCTGACACTGGCTTATGATCTGAGGTCCTAAAAAGAGGACAATAATTGTAGCTGGAGCAAGTGATAGCGCCACGTCCACTCTGAAAAGAGGCAGAGAAATGATTTGCTTTCACTGGTGATGATAAATAAAGAAAAGTGAATCATAATGAATCCTTATCTACATGAAATTAGTAATACTCTACATGAGTGATATCACAGCACCAAAATCAGAACCTTATATTTGAGTAAATGCTTGTAGAAAAGGTCTGACACTTAATTAACCTGTCATGAAGCATAGGCTACACTATACAGGTAAAGATCACAATATATTAAGTTGAACCATTTATCAAGCAAGTTTTACCTTGAAGAGAATTCTGTCAGTGTATGAAGGAACACGTTGTTTAGAAGAGGAGTCATAATGATCAGTTCCAGGATCATATTTGAAGGTTGGTGGAAAAGAAATTGTTCCTTCCTTAAATTCTGTGAATGCTTCACCTGAAAACATACAAAGAAGCAAGATTACATGAAAAGAAGAAAAGGAAAAAGAACATTCAATTATGAACTAGTGGTAGGAAGGGAACAATGTCATGTGATAAGACATCAATTATAGCTGCAAATATCACAAACTCTCCTTACCCTTTTGTTGTGCCTGGGAAAGCTGATCCCATTGTAACAGATGCTCATATGCTTCACGGCCAGGCTGCTTCAGTCTTTCAAACACGTGGTCTCGACTGACTGCCAGACGGAAATTAAGGTCACCGAGCCAGAAGACACAATCGTAACGATGGGTAACATCTGAAAGAAGACCAGTAGGATATGATTGAAAAAAATGAAGAAGAAGAAGAAGAAAGAGAAAAGTTAGGTATAGCAACATAAACACTTTAATATGTCTCTTGTGTATATAATTGCACAAATCCTAAAATAACATCATTCACTGTAAGGAAATATCCAGTTATCAAAGAATGGAAAGCCTGATATAACTGCCCCTCTACCAAATGACAATAATAGCCTCTAACCTTTATTTTTGAACTTGTGTGGCAGAAGACGTGGGATATCCAGAGAATGACAAATATTACGGAAATTCTGGATTCTATACTGTTGCTTTTCCTCATGTGCTGTAAGGTGAGAGTTTATAAACAACAATCTTGTACCTGTGAAAAGAGAACGTAAAATGATATAGAAGATAAACTAGAAAAAGATGAAAAGAAACTGCAACAATAATACCAGCAAAAAGATGATGATGATATCTAAAAAAGACAAAACTGAATATCCTTTTTCACAACAATGTACTTACCAAAGAACTGAAAACCAATGCCAACACCTCCCTTTGTTTTGTATGCCACACCAGGTCGAAGGCTATAAGTTGCTTCTTCAGGTACTGCAGTGGGAGAAAAAAAATTAAAAATTGTTCTTCCCTCTTTAAAACTGGTGGTATAGTTTCTGTACTTATAAGAGATACTTTATATCTACTTGTGACTAAAATAAGCGCAGATGTTGTTAAAATATGAAAATGAGTAGAACACGGGATTATCCATACCTGAGCAAAACCAGAGTAAATCTCTCCTGAGAAAGATGATGAGATGCAAGACACCAAAAATTGCAGAAGTGAAGAGTACATGTGATGGCCCAATAGCTGCTTGTAACCGCACCTAAAATATCAATGTCCAAATACACATCAATATGAATAATTCACTTTCTTCAATTAGGATTATCTGTTGTGTATAACTTCAACATCAAGAAAAAGAAGAACAAGATCAGAATCTTTGCAAAGGTATCACAAACACTTCAGAGTACCTCCCACTCCGATCGGCTGCCTCCAGATTCCTGCGTGCCCACCACATACATGTCAGGAACCTGCTCAAGTGCTTCTGGCAACAAGAAGTCCTCAAGGTTCTGAGGAGGCTCCTGGAACATTTATGAAACATATATATTATTGTATATAACAACTATTAATTTAAAATATGAAAAGGATTAATAATAGAAATACAAAAGGTTGTGAGGTCTCTTTTTCTCCTTAATGTTTTACTTTATAACTAATGGAAGAAAATTTGAGCTGATTCACCACCTTGCCATTCATATTCCATGTAGCAATAAATATGGTGATGGAGCGTTTAGGGATGTAGCGATCTAGCTCTGAAGCTCCAAGCAGGCTTGAGAAGCCACCAAAGAGGTAATTCCTGGTGATGAAAAAAAGCAAAATCACATATGAGACTCTTTTTATCAGATAAAATGCCTGAAACATATTTTTACCTTTATTTATTTATTTATCTTTTTTTATTTTATTTTTTTTTGTTCTTTACATATATTTACTTTTTTTATCCTCATGTCTAAAAAGTTAAAAAGAGGTATATGCATATACATAAGCATTAGCACTAGGCATATATTCCTACATCCCCCCCCCCCCCCCAAAAAAAAAAAACCATGCCAACACCTCCCTTTGTTTTGTATGCCACACCAGGTCGAAGGCTATAAGTTGCTTCTTCAGGTACTGCAGTGGGAGAAAAAAAATAAAAAATTGTTCTTCCCTCTTTAAAACTGGTGGTATAGTTTCTGTACTTATAAGAGATACTTTATATCTACTTGTGACTAAAATA